ATTTTGTCAGACAAAGGAATGTGTCGATGGAAGTTATTTTTGCAAAGCGACTTGTAACAACCGGTACATCTGCAAATGGCTCATGCTCGTGGCCATTTTTCTGGCTGGAGCACAGGAAAACACAGACCACATTTTTTACAGCAGAGATTGAGACGTCCGGGACCAGTGGGGCACATCAGCTCTGAAAACCAGTGGACATTGTGCTGGTGCAGACAGACCAGTCTGGATTCTGCTTCCGCTGTACTTGTGCCTTCAGTGATACTGTGCATTACCATGTGCCACAGAAAAAGCTTCAACCACATCTGTTAGTCCAGAAATAAAACAACATGGCAGTTGTCTACCAGGTAGCAAGATCAGGCAAATGATCACACTGGGTTCTCTGAGGGTGGGATTACTTGCCACATCTGGATTAATACTGAATGGCTGAAATATTCTCTACAGCGCTTCACCTTAACGTCAGACCTCTAGATGCAGAATTACACTTGATATAATAATGCTTTAATTCTCTTTTTGCCTCCATGTGGCTGCATTTGCTCCAGACTAAGGAGCATTATACTGATTATCTTCACATCTGCCTCAATCCAGCAAAAATGAGTAAAATCTCAGTTTTAACTGTCCAGATAATCCTTAATAAGGTGCTATGTGCAGCCTTCAGTTAGACACATCAGTACAGCAGCTGTAACTGAGAATTAAAGTGAATGGTTTTAGCCAATTATCTGTCAAACTGTGTGGTGAGGTGTTGCTGTTCAAGAAGCCAATAATGGATTTGCCCTCTGCTTCCTCACGTTAAGCTACACACTCACGAATACAGCTGTGCTGAGATGAGGTGGGGTTAATACATTCTGGGACATGGACCTATCAGATGGATGAGACTGATATTCCATTTGCTTCAGATACACATGGATATAAATGGAAACACCAGAGCGGGAGAGGATCTGGAGTTAAATTACCGTTAACTGAAGAGGACATGGATGACAGAGAGGAGCACCAATGAGACAGAGAGAGTTCAGTCAGAGTACAGCTCTATCTGAAGCTACGCAGGCTTCACACACCACATCAGGCTGGTTTGTCAAGACTGAACCCTGCACTCAAGTCTGAACACTTTACAGTACAAACCCAGGGACTTTTAAGACATTTAAAGAAAAACCTGCTCTGTCCTCAGAATGTGCCAGACACTGGAGATGCGCGGCGTTAACGCACACACACACACACACACCATTAGAGCTAAGTGTAAACAGCTGGAATGTCATTCCAATCAACACAGGGCTTAATCGGTGTCACTGATCAGACACAGGACCATGGAAAGAAACTGCACACCTGTTCCATTTTGTAAGCATAAGCCAAACCTGTCAGCCTGCTCCTCTAACAAAGTGAAACTCACAGAGCCTAAATAATAATCATGAAACTGCGTTAAACACATAGTCACAGTGTGAGCTGTGACAACAGACTTGAGTCCTGCAGCTTCAGCGGAAAACCATCCACAGCTGGAGCTAACAGCTCAGTCTGCTCTCTGAGCCAACAGGCCGCTTCCCTCCTTGAGATAATAAATGTTTTCTACTCACTGCTTTTGTGATTTGTGCAGTTTTAGGCAGAAAAATTACTTTTCATGTCCTCATAAGCTCTCAGCCCATTTGAGCCACTGTGGAGTCACCTGCACCACATCCCAGTGGTGGCGTCGGTCACAAACCCATCAGTGCTGTGACTGAGACACACTGACATTAAACCATTAATCTCTTATCAAAAGAGTTTGCAGTAATAATATCCAGTATATAGCAACTGAATAAAACTGGGAGCTCATGTGGAATCACACAGTCCGACCTCTGACATCACACATCAAGTTGTGAAACTGGTGCTAGAGGTCAAACACAGACAGACCTGGTGAGGACTGATCCAGACGCAACAGTTACTAAATGTTTCCTACACAGACTGTGACAGCAGCTAGAAATATGCAGAAAACAAAAGATATCATCTGTGTGCTGACATGTTGGTCCAGTCACATGCTAGTTTTCAAACATTTTAGCCCATTAAATTCAAATCATGTGGATTTTCTTTAACAGATAAATGTTTGCCAAAGAATTCTTCTGTTGTTTAGAAAATATTCTCCCCTCACAGCCAACCTCACGTCCCTTCACTTCATCTGTGTTACGTTTAATCCATCACCACCATCAGGTCTAACTTTGCTATGTAAGTTGTGTTATTATTCATAGGTTCAGAGCTGAGCAAGGTGCAATTTTTCTAAACAATGCTGTCATAGCCTTTTATACTGCTGCTGTTTGAAGCTGCAAGTATACACTAGTCATCAGAAACCGATGGTGTTACTTAAAAAGAGGATGGTTTTGCACTCGATTTTGAAGATTTCCAAAATAGATAAAGACGTTACTTTTTGTCTTTGCTAAGTGCAAGAGCGCAGTCGACAGCACCTAAAGAGCACAGGATCTCGTCATCGGTGTGTGAATGTGTGTGTGAATGGGTGAATGGTGTATAATCTCCTGTAAAGCGCTTTGGCCAGTGTAACACACTGTGAGAAAGCGCTATATATAAAATACAGTCCATTTACCAGGATCTAAATGGTGTTAACACTACTCTCTTTATCCACTCGGAAAAATCTGAGTCCCTCACCTTTCTCCAGAATATCCTCAGCTCCCTCCTCCCACTGGTCTTCTTCATCCTCATATTCGTCATCCACATCTGGACAGAAAAACAGATGGACAAAGACAAGCTGTAAATCGGCATTAAAGCTGCCTTCATACTGGAAACGTAACAAAGGTCTCAACAGCAAAGTGGAGATGGAACAGAAACAGAGGAGGCTTCTGTTTGTACCGGCTTCATCCAGGATGAATCCTCCGTGCCTGGGCTTCTTTCTGGGACGGTCATCATCGTCCTCCTCCTCTTCTTCATCATACTCCTCCTCATCGTCCAGGTCCTCCCCCTCTTCATCTGCTACTTTGTCGCTGCCCACGGGGCTACCCGCCTCCTCCTGGTGACGGAGACACGTGATTTTGGGGGGGAAGGGGGGATCAACACAAACTAACAAAGTACATATTATCTTCCATGATGATCTCTGCACTAACGTGTTTGCATGCGTTTATATCTGATAATACCTAATATCCACCAGCCGTGTAGCTTTCACGTCTGACCGTTCAATCCACTTTATAAACCGCTCCACTTAGTTCACAATATTTACCTGACCGCACTGGGCAGCTAGCACACCTAGCTAGCGATTAGCATACCTCGTTCTCCTCCACCTCCTCAGCCTCTCCATCGCTGCTGCGCTCACTTTGGTTGTCGGAGAAGTCGCTGTCCTCGGTGTCAGACATTGTGTAGCCCCTGGGCAGACTACAACAGCAGAAATAAAGAAAAAAACCACTTTATTAAAGTCTGAGTTGACAGCAGCCTGAGCAGCTAACATTAAGATAACGTTAGCAGCGCTGAAGCATCCGGGCATAACGATCAGAATGGCCTAGCTAAGCCCGCTAACATGAACGTAATGTTCCAGGTAGTTCCAAAATAACTGCAATTAAATATTAGCCAAAGAGTACAGACACTGGCACCTACCCTCTTTTAACCCCAGAAGCCGGTTATATCTTGTAAATTGATAAATAAATGTAAATATCAGCCTATTTCGATAGCTCTGATGCGTCTCACGTCACGCCCTGTCGGAGAACCGTGATATGTCAGAAAGCTTCGCAAATCCTCCACGGGTTTTGGACAATGGCAGATAAAGAGGGTAAGAGGTCTCACTCCGTCGCTATTTTGGAAAACTACAGGAATGCAGCAGTGTAGCGTATTTTTATAAATGTACAGTAGCAGCGTCAGAAGATATGGCTTTTTTTGAAGATAACTTTTATATATTTAAAATCCGTCGGAACAAAAAATGTTACTGACATCTGCAGAACATATCAGCAGTTATAATACATGAGTTGAGATCGTTTTCAATGGTTTCTGGTTAGATCAAACGATGCAAAAGATTACAGAATGAAACCTTTCTCTGCAACGTTTGGATGAGTCTTTGCAGTGACAGGTTTCCATCTCAAATGAGCTGAGTAAATAAGGACAGTACTCGCCTATTTAGTTATACAGAATAAGCATGCAAAGACCAGCTGCATTATTTCATTTTCTCTTTAAGCTCCCAAAGAGTTATTTTATTAACATTTTAAAAAGAACTTAGAAGCACTACATCTATATAAAGCATCAAATCTGAAATAACTGCTTAAAATTTTAATCGAATATCTATACACACACACGTATGTGAGTGAATGGTTTTAGCTTTAAATATCTTGAAAATATTAATTTTAACATATGGAGCAGGAGTGTGCCTTTAATACGTATAGAAATGTATTAAAACATTAAAGACCAGTTTAGCTCCATTGCTACACTATGCTATGTGGACTAATTTTCGCTTTTTGCTACTGCTTTTCTAATATGAAATGCTTAATGTTGAGTTTAACATTTGTTAATGGTGACATGTATTTGTGTTTTTCGTAATTCCTAAGAGTGATTTCTGACTTCCAACATACTATCTCTGATACGTGGTGACGCTACTACGTTCGACGTTGCTCTCAAACAAGCCAATCACGTGCCGCGGTTTAGGGAAGGTCGCACTGTATATGCTGTTGACGCTGCTGCTGGGTCGAAAGCAGTTAAATAAATCCTACATATCTCGTTTCTTCGTGGTGTCGGGACGTTTTTACCGAAGATGAACAGCGTCGGAGAGGCCTGCACCGAGCTGAAGCGGGAGTACGACCAGTGCTTCAACAGCTGGTTCTCCGAGAAGTTCCTGAAGGGGGACCGGAGTGGCGATCCGTGCACCGAGACCTTCAAGAAGTACCAGCGGTGCGTGCAGAAGGCCATCAAGGAGAAGGACATTCCGATCGACGGAGTGGAGTTCATGGGTCCCATCAAGGATAAACCCGAGAGCTGATAGAGCGACGAAACGGACTGATCATCGATAAGCCACGCTGCTCAGGGAACGTGTCCATGAGGCCCGCTGAGCATGCGCAGAAGCAGAGACTGCAAAAAGGAGCATGAAGTTGAACTGACAGAGCTGATCCTGATCCTGATCCCGATCCCGATCCCAGGGCAGAGACTTTGCTTCATTTCATTTGAGGGTTTTGTTTTTTTTTAAATCGAGTCTACTGCTTCTGTTTTTGATGAAGAATGCTGTGAAACAATCAGTCGATTAATTGATTAGCAGAAATTAAATCAGCAATTATTTGATGACTGATTAAGTAGCTTTTCAAAGAAAAATTAAAAATATTCTCTGGTTTGAGTTTCTCTGTTAGGATTTTCTGGGGTTTTATTCAGTTTCATGTCACTATAATTTGAATACCTTTGAGTTTGGACTCTGGGAGCGAACACAACGCCTTGGACAGTGGGAAAATGACTTTTTATAAACTAAACTATTAATACAGTAACTGGATGAATACTTATAGAAGCTCAGTCGATAATGAACATCATCTTTATGTCTTTACTGTTGAGCTTTTCCTTGATACATTTTATTAAATTTTTTTTATAGAAAATCTTTTTTTGTTTTTATTTCGTTTATTCTTGTTCTTTTCTTTGCACCAGCTCACAGGTTAAATATTTATCTGTTCAGTTCTGTTCTAAATGAACGATTTCCCTGGGTGAATATTCTCAGACAGAACTGATTGACCACCTTTACACCAAAGCAGCTGACTGAATCATAACTAAACAGACCATCGAATAAAGCAATTTACAGAGCTCTGCGTTCCATCTCTATCTGAAGACCTGACCTCAACAGCAAAACCGTTCAAACCATCTTCAGGATGAGAAGGAACACTTTCCTCCTCCATTCAGTTGATTTTATACAATTTCAAATGTGCCCTTGTAGGCTGGTCCGATCCTCTCGTGCTGTTCTATTGGTCCATCTATCCATCCGTCCTCCTCCTGCGTCCTTTCTGCTCCAATGGGAAAGGCAGCTTCCTAAAGATGGAGGAAATTCTACTCTGTCTAGATTCCTACACTCACTTCTTTCTTTGTTACTAACTAACTACACTATATGA